GGCCGCTGCTCCGCCGGCCGCGCAGCCCGGGGCCTGGAGAGCGTCCTGCCTGACGCTGTGTGTTTGTAACCCTCCTGCCGTTTTGTTGCCTTGAAATAAGCCTTTAGCGCAGATCATGAATGCCCACACGTTTTCCTCATGATTCGGCCCGCTGTTAGCTCTTGGGCGTTCCTTTGTTGTCCATAAAAGTTATACACGCATCTATATTGTCTCTCTCTCCTCCTTAAGTTTTAAGTACCTTGCAAACATTGCTGAGTTGGGTATGGGGGAGAGAGAGAAAGGACACTTTTCGAACTGTTGTTACAGAGGACAGTGGGAGCCTCGTAAAGATGCCTCTCTGTCCCCCCTCCTCTGCGACTCCGAGGTCACTTAGCCATAAGCTAGAAAACACAGTATTGGGGACATGGGGTGGGAGAGGGAGGGGAGCCCTGGGACCTTCCCTCCATGGGAAAGTTTCCCTTTTGTAAGTTGAGGGCAAGGGGTGGGGATTTTTTTTTTTTTAGTTTGTGATTTTACATTTCTCTGTACATATTTTTTCAAGATTGATCATTTTTATAACCACGGTTTTCCTGAAATTCTCAATTCAGTATGAAGGAAATGAACCAAATAGACTTTCATTATATGGTAAATAACAGCACAAGTGAGTATAACTCTAACTGGCGTTCCACAAAATGTTTTTGATTTCTAGTTTGTGTGATGTAGTTTTTAGTCCTACACGTGCATGTACTTCAACTTAACACATTTTAAAAGCTATTTTTCCCTTTCTCTGTTTTCATTTTGTTACCCATCTTGAAGTGATTATTGTTTAACATAAATTGTACTGTTGAATTTGGCTTTACGGGTGTAAACACTGACAGTGAATCAGTATCTGAGACCCCAGACTCTCCAAACATTGATGGTGCATTCTGTTCTTCAAGTGAAATCTGTGCAATAAAGTAACAGACTGTCTGCGAAACTGACCTTGAATATTCTGTTGTGTCCAGTGGTATCGCATATTGATTTCAAACAATTTCATTAGTCTCTAGTAATGTATAGGGAACCTGGTTAGTGGTGCAAGAATAAGCCATTCTGCACTGCCCTGAGTAATTAACAAGTTATTTTTTATTCGCTATGTCAGGGTGGTAATGTATGGTCATAAAAGTGAAACCTAATGCTCTCTGGGTTTCCTAAGTGGAGTGACATGAGAGGCATCTTTAAGTCACATATAAATGGGCAACAATCAGAAACCAAGTGTCAAGCATTACTCAGTTAAGCTTTTTAAAAAAATATTTGTTATTGATTTTTAGAGAGAAAGAAACTTGATGCAAGAGTGAAGCATCCATCAGCTGCCTCTTGCACTAGGGGTGGAGCCCGCAACCCCGGCATGTGCCCTGACCAGGAATTGAACCAGCAACCGTTGGGTACACAGGACGACACCCAACCAACTGAGCCACATCAGCTGGGGCCTCAGTTAAAATTTTTACATCTACTTTGAACACTTAGTAAAGGAGTTGGGTAGGTATACATGGAAGTATAAAACAAACCCATTTTATTGGATCTTAGGTAATAATACTTAAGTGCATTTTGTTTATAGATGTTTGGAAATTTTGGACAAAGACACATTGAGTTGGGTTTTGTTTGTTTTCTATTCCAGAAACTGTCAAGTTATGATTCTGCTCTTAAAAAAAACAGATTACAGCCTATTTTGACAGTATTTTTCCAACAACACTAATTTCATTAGCTGATAGTATGATAATTGGCAAACATTTCCTCTTTGGAAATATCCACTTGGGCTAGTCATTTTTGTAGATATTAGTGTACATTAGGAGATTATAACCTGGTGGGAACTATTTCTAAATTCCTTATGCAAAAAAGATAGTCTTCATGTTGATCAAAATATTTGCTTGTTATGATACAGTTGTTTTTTTTTTACATGTTTTTATTGATTTTGTAAAGAGAGGAAGGGAGAGGGAGAGATAAGAACATCAATGATGGGAGAGAATCATTGATCAGCTGCCTCATGCATGCCCCTGCTGGGGATCGAGCCCGAAACCTGGGCATGTGCCCTGACTGGGAAACGAACTGGGAATTGAACCGTGACCCCCTGGTACATAGGTCCACTCTCAACTGCTGAGCCACACCGGCCTCGCTATGATACAGTTTTTGTAAGGACACAGTCATGTGATTATATGGAGGACCTTCCGTAGTTCAAAAACTCATCAGGGTATAACAACTGTGACCATGAATGGAGCAAAAGGCGTTGGGGAGGGATGGACATGTAAAGCTTTGTCCCCATGTCCTCTCTCCTTACAACCGCAGGCTTGAGTCAGGGTGTCAAGTTCTTTTCCTCTCCTCTTCTGGATGGATGTACCTACTCACCCACCTACTTCCCTGCGGCTGCTGCTTGCTTTCTCATGGGAAGGGTGTGCTACACGAGTCTCACTTTTTCCTGCTGCAGAAAAGACACCTCAGATCTCTCCTAGCTGACCAAATTAGGGAATTCCATTTTATAGGTCATAACCCCAGTGTGGGAAAGATAGGGAGGGGCAGCCGTTCCACTAAACAGCTCTCTTCAGTAGAAATATACTACGAGCCACATTTGTAATTTAAATTTTTCTAGGCGCCACCTTAAGAAAGCTAAAAAATGAACAAGTGAAATGATTTTAATATATTGCACTTAGTAGACTAAATATTTTATTAATGGATAAACAATTATTAGTGGGTTATTTTACACCCTTCTTTTTGTATTAAGTCTTTGGAGTCCAGTGTGCATTTGACCTTCCAGCACATCTCTGTTGTACCAGCCACTCCTTGCGTGCTCAGTGGCCATGGGACTAGCGGCTATTGGATCGGGCAGCACAGTATAGAACAGCAGGTCTGCCCTCAGTACCCATTAAGAGGGATTCAGTCTTGATCACCTTATCTGCTCTCACTAGAGCTCCATTAGAACCTGGCAATTATAGTGTCAATAATTGTCACTCAGGGGAAGACAATGACCCCAATCACAGGTAAAATGGCAGACCCGAAGTGTTTTACCTGAATAACAGGGAAAAGGGAATTCATGCTCTTGAAACCTGTTTGTGCCAGGAACCTCACCCATTTTATCACCCCCACAGTTCCCAAGTATAGGTGAGGAAAATGAGATTTAGAGAGCTTGGACTGTCAGGGTCAAATAGCCACTAGTTAGACCTAAAATTTGATGTAAGTCTATCTAACTCTAAAGCCCTAGTTCTCCAATTTAAGAATTAATACCGTGAAGACAGGTAAAATGCAGATTCACGCTCTTCACCTCCAGAGATGGACTCTGGGTGGGTACCCAAAAATCTACATTTTTATTGCGTACCCTCTGATTCTAACGAGGTGGTCCCCATGCCACACTTTGAGAAGCAGCGAAGGGAAAGGCCTCTTTCTCATGCTTTTCTGTATTGGAGCTACTTTGTCCCTCTTTGATGGTCCCCAGAGGGGAGATGACTTTGAGATTCACATCCAGCGTCCCCCCACTCTTTGGCTTATTCTGAAGAGACCACATTCAGGGGATCTTCGGTTTGAAATGGATCACTTTAGCTCATGCTTTCCAAGAAATTTTATATGAACCAAGTTAGATTTCAAGGAAATCTCTGATCTAGGAATGCGAGTTACAAGACAGCAACAACAGCAAAAAGAGAAGATTGTGTGCTTAAGAATGCAGGTTACGTATTTGTGCTGGATTGGTGGTTTGGGATAACAATAGAACAAGGTTTGGTTGTATCTTCCCCTGTGTGTGTGGGTTTTTTTTAATTTCAATTTTGTGTGTCAGTGTTTCTCTATACAATGTACACAATGTGAACTGTAACGTCTTAAATGTTTGGCAGGACATTCATGCTCATGACATCACATGCTGGGAAGACAGGGAGGCCACTGTGGGGCTGGCCCCGGGAGAAGCAGCATCAGTGCTGCCATTGAGATGTCCCCACAAAAGAGTGTGTGACAGCCAGATGTGCAGCTTAATGGAGACTGAACCAGGATTGTGAGTGGAACATTGGCACATGCTGCTTGTGGCTTGAATAGCAGCTCTTGAGGAATCTATATTTCTCTACCTCAACGCAAAATCTGAGAGCTCAGGCTTTGTGGCCCTGAGGCTGGGGGAGGGAGTGGAGACGGAGGGACTTGTCACTGCTCCATGCCCCATTGTTGAAATGAAAAATGTGGAGATGGTAAACTATTTCCAGAGGATCGTGGAAGGTAAGAATCGCTTACGCTTCATATCAAAAGTACCTCCCAAATAGCAAGGAGCACCAGTTATCACAGTCTGGGGCTTTCTTTAACTAAAATGGTTATTTCTCTTATGTTGCGTTATATACAGATTTGCTTTTCAAACTGTAAAGTGCACACAGATCACCTGGGGATCTTGTTAAAATGCAGATTCTGATCCAGCCGATCTGGGGTTCTGCATTTCTAACAAGCTCTCGGGACGCTGATGCTGTTGATCTGGCCTCACAACTGGGAAAGCGAGGCCACATGCATAGGGAAGGAGAGGCGAAAGGACAGAGAAAGGGCTTTGTGGCACAGGGACCTGGTCCATCGTTTTTGGAGGCCAGCTTCACAAATGCACTTCGGTTACACACTCATTCCTTTGCTTTTCCTAATCCAGTTCTGTCAGTTACAACCAGCACATTTCCGACGAGGCAGTGGCACAGATACAGGTCCCACAGTGTCCCTGTCAGTCTCCTCTTCCTTTGGGACATTAGTCTTTCTCTTTCACTAGCTGTGTGGTCTCAGCGGGACCATGGCCTTCCTCCTCTGCCACAGTGAGAGGTCCAGAAAATGGATGTGTGATCCAAGTCAGTTCCAATAAAATGATCCAATAAAGTTCTCTCCTGGCATTTTTCAATCTGAAATTAAGGAAGGAGACCTTTCTCTCCAGGTCGGAGAGCTTCCAGTATCCACGATGTCGGTCACCCTTGCGGGGAAGCTGGTCTGAAGGAAGGGAGAGAAAGGGCAGAAATGGGAGAAGGGTTGCAGGGAGCCCAACAGCATTCAGGTCTCTAGTTCTGTGTGACCCTGGAGCCAGTACCCTTGTTTCTGGTCAAAGCTATTCTGAGCTGGGGCACTGTGACTTTTAACCAAAAAGCCCCTTTTAATAGGGGGTCACTTGAACCATTTGGCTTAGACCTGAAGCCTGAGGCAGTGTTGTATTTGTGGTAAACTTATGCAGGGTAGAAGGCTAAGGTTTTTTTATTACTAATGTTTATCCTAACTGAAACCCATAGACACCTTCCCCCACCTCCACCATTTTTTACTCCACCCACCCACCCTACAAGCTCTTCAAACTTTGGGCATCTTAAAATGGGCTTTATGAACATCTGCTAAAATTGCATTATGTATTTATTCATCCACTGATTCATTCGTTAATTAGTTTAGCAAATATTTAATGAGCATTTGCTTTGTGCTAGCCATGCATTAGCCACCAGATATAAAAAAGAAGCCCAAAGACAGTCCTAGCTTTCAAATAATTCAGTCTAGTGGTGTAGTCAGGCATATTTACAAATAATGATGCTGCTAGGTTCTTATCACTGACATCTTTAATCTACTTTGGAAAGTTACACCCTGACCAAGAGGGGAAAATAAAATACCAACAGAAGCACATTATTGCACAGATTAAAGATAAGAGTTTACAGAATATTTAATGTATAAAAGACACATTGACTAGGCTTTCTCGCAAGCTTGCACCTTTTTTATGGGTGTTGAGAATCAGCCAGTCCCTAAGAAAGTTTATTGATTTAATCACGAATGAAACAGTGAGGAATTGGCAGAGAAGTGCCTCCTCCAGGCTTCTGCACAACATCCAGCTGAGACTTTCTGCAGAGGAATACGTTGTTTTTTTTTAAGGCTGAAATTTACTTGAAGGCATCAATCTTTTGCTTGTCTAAATGATTTAAAAAACTCCCTCTCCAGTTGTCAGTGGTCATCTTTTATCGTGATAGGTGCCACAGAAACACAGCTGAGTCAGCCAGCACTGACATGTACATGGAATGCGTGGCCAGCAGAGTAAAGTGGAGACTTGAAGCAATGACCCCCATGCTGGGGACTGCAGATGGTCTGAGTGTGCTGAACTCAGAAAAGAAAAATATGAAGAATAATTTTTTTATAGTTGATTAAAAACCAAACAATAGAAACAACAATCTAGGCTTTATCGAGTTACTAATATAGGTACCACATGAGTCATTTAATGAACTCCATTTCACAACCTGTAAAAGCGTGGCATTCCCCAGTTTTTGCCTAGTGTGGTGGTTCTGCTTCACAAAGCCTCAGGGACCCGGCTCCTTCCAGCTCACTGTGTCACCAGCTCTACGAGGTGGCTCTTGACTTCAAGGTCTAAAATGGGAGCATCTACATTGCAGGTGGAGAAAGAATCAGAGGCCCAAGTCCACTATCTCCTGGGATTGCTCTCTGAAACTGGCACAGGAATCTGCTTGCAGTAAGTCACACAGTCACACCCAGCTGCAAGAGGTGCTGGGAAATGATAGTCTTTATCAGGGCTTGCTACATAATTGTTGGTGCCAGAGTAATATGAAAGTGTGGAGGTCCTTTTACTGAACGCAGGAAAAATGTGTTGTTAAAGATACTGAGGCGTAAAGCTTTTTCCTTTTTTTGTGGTCTCTCTTTTGATTTGTCATGGTGGTGTGTGTTTTTTTGCTATTAAATGTTCCTAAGTAAAGAAAATTAAAGTTTTAAATTACTAGCATAATTTTACTATTCTTCTTTATATTGTGCAATATCTGTTTTAAATGCAAATATGAGCGTTTCACTTTTATGTGGAAACAACCAAAATTCCACAATTTGCATTTGGTAGCTTGTACATGTATTAGCATTTGCTTCTTATTAGAACAGTGGAAACACTGCACATAACTAACTCAGTTGTTTTTTATTTTACTTACTGACATGTACACATTCTGTCAACACTCTCTACCCTCAGCTTAGTGATGAGTAAGGAAGAACTGAAATGAAGAGGAACTATAAATTGCATTCTTTCCCTTTCTTTCGATGTCATCACTTTCAGTGTAAAGTGGTTGATTAAACATGGAATTTACACAGGGATAAGACAAGGTTCCTTGGTCGTTTGTGTTTCTCAGAACTCCATTGCCATCTTTTTGTATTTGAAGCAAATTGTGGTTTGAATGGTGCAGTGTGGTCTCGGGACTGTCAGTGCATCTGCTTACTCAGTGTCTTAGTCTGGTTGGGCTGCTCTAACAAAATGCCACAAATTAGGCAGTTTACAAATGACAAAAATTTGTTTTTCACAGTTCTGGAGGCTGGAAGTCTAAGATCAAGGCATGGTTGCTTTCTGGTGAGGGCCTTCTTCCTGGTCCACAATTGGCACCCTTTCACTGCGTCCTCACTTGGCGGAATGGGCAGGGGAGCTCTGTGGGGTCTCCTTTGCAAAAGCTTTAATCCCATTCATGAGTGCTCCACTCTCATGACCTACGGACCTCCCAAAGGCCCCATGTCCTAATACTATCACTTGTGGGGCTTAGGATTTCAACATATGAATTTTGGAGGGATGCAAACATTCAGACATTACACTCAATCATAGACATAACACACACTTACCTTTGAACTTGCTTGGAGTTCTGCTGAATTCCCACACATCATGGATGCACCAGAGTTCTATGCTCACGAGGCACTGTGAATGCTATGTGCAAAGAGAGTGGTAAGAAATGGCGGGCACGTGTATTGCATGTGCATTTTCTTTGCTCACACACGTGCTCCATCGTCCCATTAAGCTTCACTTGCAAAACATAAGTTCAATGATAAAATAATGAAAAAGTTCAAGACAGCACCTGTAGAGAATTAAACCAAATGTAGGGTCCTTCTGCTTGTAGGGCCTGTGAAACTATAGTTACACGTCCATGAAGCCAGCCCTGTCCTTTACTC